TGGAGGAACGTGTTCGGTTTCTTTCGCGTTCCATGAAGTAGGTCGCGAGGCTGGATAAATCATCTGTAAAACTCTGTAATCGATAACAAAATCAATAAGATAAGGAAAGACAAACCTTGTCGATTAATTTGCCATATTTGGACACGGCAGGATGCACCTCACGATGCGCCTTGATGTATTCGGACATCTTGGTGCGGACGGTGGACGCAAAATTCGAGACAGCTTTCTTGAGTTCGTCAGAAAGAGTTTCCGCTGATAATTCAAATAAAAGTATGAAAAGCACGGTTGGATAAAGGCTGTTTATCAAAAATGTAACTTGCCGAACAGCTGGAGAATTTATTTTTGCTGGTGGAAAGTTTATAAACCTGCCTATATTAAACAATTTCGATACCTGAAAAAAATGCGCCCGGCGCGTTGAGCATCACAACTACGTTCTGTAATGATCAGGCATGGGAAATGCGGAAAAACATACAAAATCCATATCGCATCTGTGAAACATGGAAGCTATGTAAGGAAGGGTCACCCATGTGATTTTTGATCCCCACGTTAGCAAACTAAATACAAAGTCACTGAATGAACAAGCCAGAAATACAGAAAACAAAAAAAAGCAACCCATCATCATTTATGCCAAAATGCAACGCTGAAGGAAATCCTTTGTGTATCATAGAGCATTGCTGCGCCCAACTGATGTAAAAATTCAACTGAATGGCAAACTAGAAGCTGAGAGGATGAAATGTGAAACTGCGGATTCAATTACAGTTTGAAAAGTAAGCCAAGAGCATAAAGTTCAGTTTTTACAACCACTAACCATGCACTTTCGTGCGCCGGTTTTGGTTGCTGTCTTTTAGTGTCCCATTTAGATAAAACAGCAGGATGAAGATTGGAACGTTGAAAGCAAATTCAAGCGGGAGATGGGGAATTCATATGGAATGGTGTTAGGGAAATAATGAGTAGATGCATGAGCACCACTGTTTGCGATATCCAACCATATCACTTAGTCCATCGGTGACCATAATCTCGGGGTCCCTAGCCAGGGAGCCCGACAGGGCCTATGTGACCTAGTCTTCTGGTTAGGATTTTCATACCCTCATGCCAGGTCTTCATTTGACAACCATTGAACCGTTTACAACCGCTACCTGCCTCGGCAAATATCGCTCGCCTTGGTAACCTATTTGGTGACATGTTCCAACCAACGTAATTTACGGAGGTCGATCAATTGCTCTAGTGGACGAGTGCGACTACCTAAAACTACGCCTAACCTCAGCATTGCTAGTCCGGTTACCCCACCAGACTCGTGAAATGCCACGTAAACAGCGGTGTTCGAACACCCACAATCTATTTTTATCCCGTTTCCGTAGTGGTCAAATCTCAGCATCACAGAGCACATACTGGCCGAACTGCTGCAGCATATACTCGACCCTTCACAGATAACCGGATGTCGCGACGGCGCCATAAATGTATCAAGTTGGCAAATGCCAACCGAGCCTCTTGTATACGCGCGGACATTTCATCTGTGATGCATCCACCAGGTGAGATGTAGCTACCCAAATAACAAAATTTGTCTACTTTCTCTATAACTTTCCAAATCAGGGTGAGACTGGGTGCTGAACCAACCCAATCTTGTAGTAGCATTTTACACTTCGGAGGTGGAAAACGCATGCCGAACATAGCTACACTAGCACTCGAAGTATCCAGAAAAGCATACAAATTACCCGGATCTTCACTTAGTAGCACAATGTCGTCTGCATACTCTAGATCAGACAGTCTGCCACCTGGGAGTAAATCAATCCCGCTATCCTCGCATGAGGATAGAGCTGTTTCAAGAACTAAATCTATCACCAAGTCAAATAGAAACGGAAAGAGAGGACAACCCTGTCGAACACCACTTTCCGTGGTGAACTGGGGTGAAAAAATATCGCAAGCTCGGACTCGGCTCCGGCTATTAGTATAGAGCGATTGTAATATTGAAATAAACTTCCCGGGCACACCCTTCAGAGCGAGGCAGTGCCAGAGTTTAGAGCGGTCGACTGAGTCAAAAGCCGCTTTTAAATCAAGAAAGACAGAGATGGTGGGCCTACGGAGGGAGTGTCTGTGTTCTAGGATTTGACAAGGAGTGAAGATGGGGTCGATACAATCTCGACCAGGTCTAAACCTAGCCTGGTTCTTACGCGTACACCGTTCACGTGGGGCAGACAATCGACGGAGTATGATACCAGCGAGAAGTTTAGAGATGATGTTGATTAAACTAATTCCTTTGTGGTTTTCATAGGGGAATCTGTCACCTTCCTTGTAAATCGGTATGATTACCGATTCACACCATTCAGTTGGAACCTCTTCGCTCTCCCACACTGATCCTAAGAGTTTTCTTAACTCCAAAACCAAGGGTAGATCTCCATCCTTAAAAACCGATGGAGACAATCAGTCGGGGCCGAAAACCTTATGCCGTTTGAGATAGGTTATTCCCCGGACAACCCCCCATTTAGATGGAGGACTGGCGTCAACTGACAGTAGTTGCACAGTTGAAGCGGATAGGGGGTGCCCTAAAATGTTCTGCCCAACATTCAAGACGGCGTTCCTGAGTTTAAATCAGTGTGCCATCAGACTCCTCAACTACCTCAATTACGCCTACTTTCCTTGATTCTGTACTTCTAATTAAACGAGAAAAGTTGCGACTATTACCAATAGTCGAAGCCTTCTCCCTACCCACCACTTCTCGCGATTATTCCTCAGACTCTTGATGAGCTGGCGTTGAAGGGACTTGCGCGCTTTATCGTATATTGAATCCAAAGAAATGGCTTTGCGAGCGTCCAACAAGGCAACCGAGGTCATCATTTTTTATTTGATCGTGCGCCAGAATTTGCCGTTGTTTTGATCGAAGTTTGGATAGCTTTCTTGATTGTCGTCCAGTGTTCACTGAACCCTCCGGCTGATGGTTGAGCTAAGGCGATCTGATAGTTCCGCTTCAAAGGTCGATTTGCAGCCGTCGTTGATACTGTATTGTGGGCATCCGTTTTCGGTGGTTTTTCTGCGGTTGTTTATCAGGCGCAAGGAGAATCTCGCTCGTAGCAGAGCATTGTCCCTGTCCGCGGGTATTGACCAGTAGGAGCGGCAGTTCTCAATGGATTCGCGCCAGCGGTGGCTGATGGTGATGTGGTCGATTTGAGTCCAGTGCTGTGAAGAAGTTAGCGGTCTTCATGTAAGTCGGTGTCGTTTCTTGTGCGAGAAGTTGGTGCTTGATAGAAACAGTCCGTGGTCAGCGCAAAGTTGAAGTAGGCTGAGATCGCAAGCGGTCCGCCAAGTAGCCTTTCTGACTCGTCCAGGGATTCAACTTGAGCATTAAAGTATCCAGTGATTACCACGATGTCCGTTGACCGAGCACTTTGGAGCAGTTGAGAGGTCCTTGTAGAATTCATCCTTCACTTCTGGTGAACTGCAATCAATCGGTGCATAGGCGGATACGACGAACAAACATCGACGCTTCGTTCTGTAGCTGTTGATCCGCACTGAACCATCTAGACGTAAAGGCTGCTAATTGGGATCTAGTCGAGAAGTGAACGCTCGACCTTGACACAGCGCAATCCCAACACCAGAAACACCGCGAGCTTCGGATGACGAATCGCCTGACACACGGAGTGAAGCGTGAGGATGAGGTTGGATCAGGAGAACGCAGGGAGATAATGTAAGTACGGTCTTGTATGCGTGTTTCGGAGACAGCATACATCTAAATGGAAGGTTTTAAGGGTTCTAGCGGAAGCAGCCTGTTGATCGATCAAGTAGTGTGCGGACATTGAATGCAGCTACGTGAAAATGGGATTTTCGTTTCAGAAACCTGGTAGCCTCTGAGTGGTCGTCCTTATTAGTTGAACGCTGAGTGATATCCGATGGGTCTCGTAAACGGGAGGCACCTAGGATTATTTGGGATTGAGAAGAAGGACTAGACAGATGGGAAAGATGGGTTTCCAAATGGGTACCTAAGACTTTAGGGCACGGCATACTTCGCGGTAGTCCACGCCGACAAAGGACAAGAGCATAAACCACCATAAGTTACATTCAAGATATTTCTAATACGTTTCTATCTGTGGTTGCTGCAGAGAAATACACTGTTTATTTTAAAAAAACTACATGAAAAATGGGCAAAAATGGTCACATTTGTTGACAAGAGCTTGCCATAGTATATTAGTTTCGACTGACAACAACGGAGTCTAAGGATTAATCGAAGTGGACTTAACCATCTTGAGATTTTGAAAAGTGCTAGCCCTTTGGATAATTCAGAACAACTTGTGTTGCGTCATTTGGACGTGTTGTGTACTGAAAACAATAGTTCCCGGGTGACAGAGATAGGCAAATCCTAATTGATCGCAATTTGTAACATACCGTAGTGAGGTTAACAACTCCCCAAGGCTGACTGTGAAAGACATATGGATTGAACAAGTCAATTATTTCAATTTACAGTGGTATACCGGGCCCAACGGAAGGGTCACAAATAAAAACTCAGTCGATGGGTAAACACGCACCACGATGGTGTTCCAGGAGTTTACACTATTACTACTAGCACGGCAAAGCGTGGAACGTTTTTCTTTTTATATATTATTATATTATATTTCACACTTGTCCGAGGACGGACTGTGTGCCAAATAAATCATGATACAATAATCTTTATATAAAAGAAAATGTTTCATGATTGGCTTGTGGGCTGAACACTGTAAGGTTGTCCAGGCCAAGCCACGTGAATTTTCTTGAGGAATTCACAACTGGAGCCTTTGGCTAACCAAAGCCTGACCCGCAAGGCAGCGGGGCGATGTGGGAAAACCGCAATCCATTGGGAGCCGGTGTCCAGCTCATCGGATCATACATCCTTTAGATGGAGTCAAACGTCCAAAGTGCCCAATACAACTCAATGCCCAATCGAACCGGTGACCACTACCACAACCAGAATTTTGTTTGCGGTTCGCACGCCTCCTCTTGGTTGGTTTGGAATCAGGGTTTTTAGCCCATTCCCCTAGGTGAACTATCAGTGGTCCGCCAACCAGGTTATAGCCCCGGATATCGGCTTTTCGTCCTCTCACTTTGGTGGCGGGAAACCACCTCCGCCATACGAGAAGGCAGTGAGTAGGGCTTTCTCAGCAGAGACTGTCTGAGAAGCTTGGTCGTATGAGAGCATTTCGTGAAGTGCAAGGGAATGGTGACCAGCCGCAACCCTAGACACCCACTCGCGACCATACTGAGGCTTTTCTTTTCATAAAGATTATTGTACCGCTATTTGTTTGGCACAGTCTTAACTGAGACCTGTGTAATATATATACATATAATACTAGCACGACAGTGACTAGATAAATGGTTGAAATCTACTACGACAAACGTTTGCTCTGGCTGATGATTTGCTTCCATTGTATTGTGTTAGTGTGTGCAAATTTCTTAACTGTTGTGAATGATTTTACGATGAGAGGTTTACGCTTTTTGTGTTGTATACAATGTAGTGGTTTAGTTGGGGTCAACGGTTTTTTGGACCTATGCTCCGAGGTTCGAAACCGGCTACCACCATCCAAATTTGGTGGTAGACAGCTTTTCTGTGGTCCGGTTCAATATCAAGCCTAACCCAGAGGGGCCTTATGTGGTTCACCACTACAAATCCAGCGGGGCCCTGGCTGCCGATTTCCATCACTGAATAGTAGGTCTAAGCGACTATGCGGTTCATTCCGTCTCTTATTCATCACACGAAATGTGTAATGATAAAAATAATGAAAGCATAAGTGTATGGATGATAGTGTATTATATCCCAGTATTTATCACAAGACAGCTCGAACAGAGCCTAATCCATTCCATTTTAATTCCCAATGGACATATTGAAAGGTTGACATGAGCAGAGCCATAATTACAAGTACAATATAGCACACCTTTTCAAATTCTAGGTACCGTGCTCATCATCATCATCACCATCGTACAGCGAAATACAATGAGGTGAAATTCACTGATTGCTGCCAAACTCGCAATGTATACACGGTTTTCGGTAATATTTAAGGTGAACAGGAAGTTGACCTAATTTGAGAGAGGGGAAAGAAAGTGGTCAACACAGAGTATGAAATCGAACTCTGCATACATACCGTTTCAAACATTCTGGCCTGATAAGAAATGAAAAGAACGCCACTGCTTTCGGTTCACTGCCATATCTTTCGATGTCTCCGACCACCCAGTTATGTGGAGTCTTTCGGGCCCCAACCTAGAAGGCGAGAGACACCTATTCTAAATGATGGTTCTGTGCATTTCGCCATTCATCGGCTCCACGTCATCTGTTGACCTCCACGCGGTTTCCTCCAGCCCGGATTAGCTACAGCGAATAAAGCGCGGTGCGACAGACGATGACTGGACATACACAATACGTAACCTAGCCAGCGAAGTCTACTAATCTGAATTCGGTGTGTTAGCAGGTTTATCACTGATAGACTCCCAAATACATAATCGATAATCGACAACTTCTAGTTGATGAATATCCTTAAGGTCTCAACCACAAAGCAGAACTGAACCGTGCTCAATGCGGTCAGGTCGATATTATTGGATTTGACCCAAACTGTTGGAAAACCTTGAGGTTAAAACGGGTGTAGCACTGCAAATAGCCTGGAAAATTGTACGGTTATATTCGTACAATGGGGGAATCTGTACTTCTNACGATGAGCCACAATATTCAGTGTCCCCTCCCAGCTACAACTTGTAGTGACTGTTTTGTCACTGGTATTTACGTCAACCTCGACCACAATGAGTATTCGCATAT